CGACGACGTGGATAACATACAGCTGGCGGGATATCAAATCAAATCAACTTTTATTTGCCACATGCGCTGAATACAACAGTGAAATGCTTACTTACAAGCCCTTAACCAACAATATGGTAAAAATAGCAAATAATTAAAGAGCAGAAGTACAATAAAATAACAATAGGGAGGCTATATACAGGGGGTACCGGTACAGAGTCAATGTGCGGGGGCACCGGTTAGTGAAGGTAATTGAGGTAACATGTACATGTGGGTAGAGTTAAAGTGACTATGCATAAATAATAAACAGAGTAGCGGCAGCGTAAAAGAGGGGGATGGGGTGGGGTGGGGTTGGAGGGCAATGCAAATAGTCTGGGTAGCCATGATTAGCTGTTCATGAGTCTTATGGCTTGGAGGTAGAAGCTGTTAAGAAGCCTTTTGGACCTAGACTTGGCACTCCGGTACCGTTTGCCGTGCGGTAGCAGAGAGAACAGTCTATGACTAGGGTGGCTGGTGTTTTTGACAATTTTTAGGGCCTTCCTCTGACACCGCCTGGTATAAAGGTTTTGCTCATCTGAGGTAGAGTATCTCATGATAAGCTATACACCACACTATTTACCAAGAGAGTTTTCATCTATATTTTTTGTAGCTGTCTATTTACCACCACAAACCGATGCTGGCACTAAGACCGCACTCAATGAGCTGTATAAGGCCATAAGCAAACAGGAAAACGCTCATCCAGAGGCAGCACCCTAGTGGCCGGGGACTTTAATGCAGGGAAACTTAAAGCCATTTTACCTCATTTCTACCAGCATGTTAAATGTGCAACCAGAGGGAAAAAAAACTCTTGACCACCTTTACTCCACACACAGAGACGCGTACAAAGCTCTCCCTCGCCCTCCATTTGGCAAATCTGACCATAACCCTATCCTCCTGATTTTTGCTTACAAGCAAAAACTTAAGCAGGAAGCACCAGTGACTCGGTCAATAAAGAAGTGGTCAGATGACACAGATGCTAAGCTACAGGACTGTTTTGCTAGCACAAACTGGAATATGTTCCATGATTCTTCCGATGGCATTGAGGAGTACACCACATCAGTCACTGGCTTCATCAATAAGTGCATCGATGACATCATCCCCACAGTGACCGTACGTAGAGCGAGACTCTAACCCAGACACTTATAAGAAATCCCGCTTTGCCCTCCTACGAACCATCAAACAGGCAAAGCATCAATTCAGGACTAAGATTGAATCGTACTACACCGGCTTCGACGCTCGTCAGATGTGGCAGGGCTTGCAAACTATTACAGACTACAAAGGGAAGCACAGCCGCGAGCTGCCCAGTGACACGAGCCTACCAGACTTACGTCTATGTTTGCTTCGAGGCAAGCAACACTGAAGCATGCATGAGAGCATCAGTTGTTCCGGACGACTGTCTGATCACGCTCTCCGTAGTCCGATGTGAGTAAGACCTTTAAACAGGTCAACAGACTGATTACCAGGACGAGTACTCAGAGCATGCGATGATCAACTGGCAAGTGTCTTCACTGACATTTTCAACCAATCCCTGACTGAGTCTGTAATACCAACATGTTTCAAGCAGACCACCATAGTCCCTGTGCCCAAGAACACTAAGGTAACCTGCCTAAATGACTACCGAACCGTAGTGCTCACGTCTATAGCCATGAAGTGCTTTGAAAGGCTGGTCATGGCTCACATCAACACCATTATCCCAGAAACCCTACACCCACTCCAATTTGCATACCACCCCAACAGATCCACAGATGATGCAATCTCTACTGCACTCCACACTGCCCTTTCCCACCTGGACAAAAGGAACACCTACACTACCAGTCAAAAGTTTGGACACACCTACTCATTCAATGGTTTTTCTTTATTTTTACTATTTTTTATATTGTAGAATAATAGTGAAGACATCAAAACGAAGAAATAACACATATGGAATCATGTAGTAACCAAAAAAGTGTTAAACAAATCAAATAATATTTTATATTTGAGATTCTTCAAAGTAGCCACCTTTACCTTGATGATAGCTTTGCACACTCTTGGCATTCTCTCAACCAGCTCCATGAGGTAGTCACCTGTAATGCATTTAAATTAACCGCTGTGCCTTCTTTATAGTTAATTTGTGGAATTTCTTTCCTTCTTAATGCGTTTGAGCCAATCAGTTGTGTTGTGACAAGGTAGGGGGGTATACAGAAGGTAGCCCTATGTGGTAAAAGACCAAGTCCATATAATGGCAAGAACAGCTCAAATAAGCAAAGAGAAACAACAGTCCATTATTACTTTAAGACATGAAGGTCAGTCAATACGGAACATTTCAAGAACTTTGAACGTTTCTTCAAGTGCAGTCGCAAAAACCATCAAGCGCTATGATGAAACTGGCTCTCATTAGGACCACCACAGGAATGGAAGACCCAGAGTTACTTATTTAATAGTTTTGATGTCTTCGCTATTATTCTACATTGTAGAAAATAGTAAAACATTAAGAAAAACTCTTGAATGAGTAGGTGTGTCCAAACTTTTGACTGGTACTGTACGTGTGAATGCTATTCATTGACTACAGCTCAGCGTTGTGTCAGCCTATTAATTATGAAAATATACAAAATTCCTTATTACTAGGCTATTCAAAATCAAATACAAATACAAAAACTGTAAGCCGCCCTGCACAATCAATGAACCAACAGCATCCCCTAGGGCTGGCTGTTCGCTCCCAGACTCGTGGATAAAAATGTTGGAGCGTAGCATAAGGTAACCAGTCTATCCAGTATGCATAATAATACAGTCCACACTCAAAGGCGAATACTCACATTTGTTTAATTTTGAAGTATAGGTTAGACCAATTATGTTCCAAAGACATCTTAAATCAGTTTTGTTTTATGCTTTTCTGCCACCACAATCATCATTTTAATTCATGTTTTTTTTTTTCGGGCTTGTGCTCATAAGCCTATGCATATGCATAAGCTCTAATAGGCTATGCATATTGTGTTTTGAATGAATCATCACCTTAGAAAGCCTGTCCATTTCGTTTCGTTGTGTTAGGCTTTGAAACAACATCCACAACGACCATGTTTTCCACTCAGTTTCAACCTGCTTTTGAACTTTCTTCAAATTGATCATCACAGTGAGGTGAGTTTTTAAAGCATGATACTGTTTTCCATGATAAGTGTGTGATGTGATTTTTTTTGCATTTGCATTGATGTCAGAATGGTTAGAGGGACAATAGAGCCCTGAGTACCAGGCCATTAGCAACCTGATGGTGGTTAGGGTACTACCAATGTATGTCCTGAGTGCATAAGAGATTACCTTGACTCAACGGTAACATGGAATTTTACTGCGATCATGACTCATTACTGCCGGTGTGATGGTAATGTTGTCACTGCAACAGCCCTATTCCTGAGTGGCCTAGTTACAGTTTTGATTTAAATCGGCTTGCAAATCTATGGCAAGACTTGAAAATGCCTGTCTAGCAATGATCAACAACCAACTTGACAGATCTTATTTTTTATTTATTTTTTATTTAACCTTTATTTAACTAGGCAAGTCAGTTAAGAACAAATTCTTATTTACAATGCTGGCCTACCAAAAGGCAAAATGCCTCCTACGGGGACGGGGCTGGGATTAAAAATAAAAAAAATGGTACAAAACACACATCAAGACAAGAGAGCCTACATAAAGAGAGACCTAAGACAACAACACAGCATGGCAGTAACACATGATAACACAGCATGGTAGCAACACCACATGACAACAACATGGTAGCAACACAATCTTGAATAATTTTTAAAGAATAATGTGCAAATATTGTACAGGTGTGCAAAGCTCTTACAGACTTACCCAGAAAGACTCACAGCTGTAATTGCTGCCAAAGGGGATTCTAACATTTATTGACTCAGGTGTGTGAATACTTATTGTAGTGGCAAGGGTTCATTATTCTAAAATCCCACTTCTATAAACACCTAAATACAGGTTTGGTTCCTTATGGGTTTCCATAGATGAGGCATTTTATAATCTGGAACCTTAGCAACTACATAAGTAGAATACTATAGAGCTACTAGGCCTCTTCCATCAGGTGCAATCACCTGTCCTAATGAGTTACTGACACTTATCTTTACCCATAACCCTTCATTCTCTATTCTTACAGGTAAACCATAGGTGTCCACCAGGTGTCACAATAGCATCCATAAAAGGCTTCTGATATACATACTGTATTTAACATAATGAACATTGTACATACATTCATCTACAATAATAAGCATTTTCTATAGATTTCTATATCTTTCATAAAATCAACCCAAATAAGTTAAATACTTTTTTTTTTCATTTTTAACACTTATGTAAATGATATATTTCTGTATTTCATTTTCAATACATTTGCTAACATTTCTAAAAATACATGTTCACTTTCTCATTATGGGGTATTGTGTGTAGATGGGTGAGGAAAAAATCAATTGAATCCATCTTTAATTCAGGCTGTAACACAACAAAATGTGGAATAAGTCAAGGGGTATGAATACTTTACCTCACTGTATGTCAGGTCGCTGAGTTGGCCTAAGCATTGACCCCTCATGGTAGAGACCAAGCCCTCTGGTCACAGATGTTCCTGTAGGATTGATAGAAATGCTGTCAAGCTCAAGATCAGATCATTACCATTGAAGTGAAGGGTAAGAGAGAACAACACGTTTTTACACTTGCTGATCCAATTTATCAGCTTAATTTATCAGCTTACCATCCCTTCATCCCTGTGTGTCTGTGAGGAAATATAACAACCCAGTAAAAATTCAAATATTCAGCTTGACCTTTTAAATATTAGGAAATGTAATCATTACCATCTGTTGTTACACAATTGCTTGAAACTCTCCGCTTAATAAGTGGGCAGACAGGACAGAGATTACGCATGTTTATATTTCAGATCCATAAAAGTCAAAAATCTCCAGAGTAAATATGAGTCTGTCAAGCAGTAATGACGTCTGACGTGTGTGTGTGTGTTTGTCCCAGTGTCCCCTGCAGCGGAGCGTCTCCGCTATATCCTGGGAGAAGACGATGACATGCCCACCCCCACCCTCTTCACTGAGATGGACACGCTGCAGCAGGACGGGGACGAGCTGGAGTGGAAAGAGTCTGCCAGGTGACTTCTGACCCATAGATCACATACAGACATACAGAAACATACAGTAAAAGCCAGCCTTGACAGCCAATATCAAGTATGTCAAGTTCATGCCAAGATTTTGACAGTCTATGTTATAGCTATAGCTATCAACTACTGAGTCACCTGTAGTGTAGGCTAATTCATATTTTAACATGCGTATGGTGATACCAAAAATACATTTCATAGAACAAATTGTCCCACTCCTTTATCATAGACGGATGTCATTCTAGAACCCACCAATTTTGTCATGCATTTCATGTTTATTATGGCATGCATGATGAATTAATGTCTTATTGTTAGCATGTGTCATTCCCAAGACAAGCAGTCAGTGTTTACATCATATCAGTTTCGACGTGAATTATTTGTCCCTTCCAACTCATTTGATGCCTCCAACTCATGCCCTCTTTCTGTCCCTGTACTGGGGTCCAGGTGGGTGAAGTTTGAGGAGAAGGTGGAGGACGGAGGAGAGAGGTGGAGCAAGCCCCATGTGTCCACCCTGTCCCTGCACAGTCTGTTTGAGCTCAGGACCTGTCTACAGACCGGCACTGTGCTGCTGGATCTGGAGGGATACTCACTGCCTCAGATAGTTGGTGAGCAACACAAATTCCCCTTTACAGAGCACTAATGCATACCAAATAAGTATTGTGTGATTCGTACCTAATGTTTAGAGATAGTACTGTAAATAATTTCAATTCTCTGTCACAAATGACAAGCAGAGGTGTTATCCCTTCTAAGAACAGTTAGCCTAGTGTGTACAGTGTATTTTAGTGATGCTAACAGCATCCAGTAGTTGACAAGAAAGGCTGTTGGTTGTGAGTGATACTACAAACAGTACTAAGACAACATTCTCCTGCAGATGAAATCATTGATCGGCAGATAGATGAGGGCATGTTGTCTCCTGACCTAAGAGAGAAGATCAGCTTTGTCCTCCTGAGAAAGCACAGGCACCAGACCAAGAAGCCCATCCACCGCTCTCTGGTTGACATGGGCAAGGCCAGCGGTGGTGGTGCCCGTGAGTGTCCCTCTCCTCTATGGTCAAGTATGGCCATCGGTATCCCTATACACGTTATAGTACTTCCTAAGTTTTACACTTGCAGCCTACTTATATACATTTTTAAAAAAGTGTATTATGCCCACTGTATAGGCTTTCTTACACTTTCTTTAATTGCAAATTATCACAAATTTTTTCATGCAGTCATCTCAGTTTTATTCAATTGAATTAAATAAACTTTATCCCCAAGGAGAAATTATAGTCTATCTCCGTAAACAGTCTCCTGTCTTCCTTACTTGTATTTCCTCCTCAGCTCGTAGTCCAGGTGCAGCGGCCGCATTCAACCGCTCCATTGAGGACCTCCGCATGAAATCACAGTCAGGAGGCTATGGTCGTCTGCGTGAGTCTCTCTCTCATCATCTCTCTAGAGCCTGTCTGTCTCTTTTTCTCTTTCTTTCACACTCTCTTCCTGTGACTTCTTGTATCGCTCTTAAAGATGCACTCTGCAGAAATCGTTCCTCCATTTCCTGGTTGCTAAAATTCTAATAGTTTGCCTAATTTCAGTTTATGTGACAAAACAAGCAAGTATAGTGGAGAGAATCATTGTACCATCTAAACGCTATGAAATATATTTTTCATAACCAAAACTATTGTATTTTCAGCTGTTTGAAGCTGGTGTACAAAACCAAAAGTAAAAGACGCAAAAACAAAACTTAAGAACTGGAAGCATAGAAATGGTGCACATAGAACAGATCTACCGCTTTTTATACTTGCTTTCAATGAGAATGACAGATCTATAACATACATATTATGTGTGCATTTGGTCGGGTCACCCAAAAAGTTACATATTGCAGCTTTAAATATCCTATTATTCCCTTCTCTCTTTTTAGATGTGTTTGAAGCTATAGAGAATACTACAGGGTTCTCCCCAAAGAATGTAAGAGAGGCGCTGCACCACTATGTAAAACAGTATATTATTTGTTATCATATAAGGCCATATTTTGCTCTAGGTTGCAGGAAATGGCAGTTACAGGTGTTAAAAAATTTAAAAGTCTCGGAGTCCAATGGGGAGCACTGACCCCCTCCTGGCCTCCTCCCCGGCCATACTCAGCAGCACCACCTTGTTAAAAAATCTTGAGGAGAACCCTGTACTGATAATATTTAATCCTCTTCACGGCACGAATTCCTTTTATTTGAAGAAGAGAATCTCAGTTGATTTGCACATGTGTCTTTGATACATAGAACACTCTCCATATCCTCAACATTGATATGATAAATTATTCACATGTACTGTGTTGCTTTACAGGTCATGCCCATAGTAGGAGTATGAATGACATTGCAGACACTCTGAGCACAGACCAGGTGACCCACTGATACAACAATACAACTCAGCAGGCTCAATTCAATCAAACATCATCCTTGCAGAGCGAAACTACAGGTTTTACGGAATTATTGTCATAATATAATTTAGGTTTTCTAATCTAGGTTAATTTAGGTTAGTTTCATTACTTAAAATGTGCACTTCCTCTGTGCAGAAATTATGTTAGTTTTCCGCAAAGATGTTTGATTGAATTGCAACCAGAGTGTTTGTAGGAATTCATATTCCTTCTTTTGCAATGGCAAAACGTGTTGAGTTTGTGTATCCATACAGTATGTGTTTGTGCCGAATTTTCAAAATCCATTTAACCAGTAAATGTGCTGAATTTGACATATACAGTGGGGAGAACAAGTATTTGATACACTGCCGATGTTGCAGGTTTTCCCACTTACAAAGCATGTAGAGGTCTGTAATTTTTATCAAAGGTACACTTCAACTGTGAGAGACGGAATCTAAAACAAAAATCCAGAAAATCACATTGTATGATTTTTAAGTAATTATTTTGCATTTTATTGCATGACATAAGTATTTGATCACCTACCAACCAGTAAGAATTCCACGTCTCACAGCCCTGTTAGTTTTTCTTTAAGAAGCCCTCCTGTTCTCCACTCATTACCTGTATTAACTTCACCTGTTTGAACTCGTTACCTGTATAAAAGACACCTGTACACACACCAATCAAACAGACTCCAACCTCTCCACAATGGCCAAGACCAGAGAGCTGTGTAAGGACATCAGGGATACTCATTTCTCTCTGCCTCCTTCTTTCCACTCCTCTCCTCTTTTGACCTCACCCTCTCACCGTCCCCCCCTACTCACAAGGCAGGCAATACGCTTGACCTCATCTTTACAAGATGCTGCTCTTCTACTAATCTCACTGCAACTCCCCTCCATGTCTCCGACTACTTTGTATCCTTTTCTCTCTCGCTCTCCTCCTACACTACTCACTCTGCCCCTACACAGATGGTAATGCGCCGCCGCAACCTTCGCTCTCTCTCTCCCACTACTCTCTCCTCTTCCATCCTATCATCTCTTCCCTCTGCTCAATCCTTCTCCCTCCAATCTCCTGATTCTGCCTCCTCAACCCTCCTCTCCTCCCTTTCTGCATCCTTTGACTCTCTGTGTCCCCTATCCTCCCGGCCGGCTCAGTCCTCCCCTCCAGCTCCGTGGCTTGATGACTCATTGCGAGCTCACAGAACAGAGCTCCGGGCAGCTGAGCGGAAATGTAAGAAAACTAGACTCCCTGCGGACCTGGCATCTTTTCACTCCCTCCTCTCTACATTTTCTTCATCTGTTTCTGCTGCTAAGGCCACTTTCTAACACTCTAAATTCCAAGCATCTGCCTCTAACCCTAGGAAGCTCTTTGCCACATTCTCCTCCCTGCTGAATCCTCCTCCCCCCTCCTCCCTCTCTGTGGATGACTTCGTCAACCACTTTGAAAAGAAGGTTGACGACATCCGATCCTCGTTTGTTAAGTCTAATGACACTGCTGGTCCTGCTCACACTGCCCTACCCTATGCTTTGACTTCTTTCTCCCCTCTCTCTCCAGATAAAATATTGCGACTTGTGACTGCAGGCCGCCCAACAACCTGCCTGCTTGACCCCATCCCCTCCTCTCTTCTCCAGACCATCTCCGGTGACCTTCTCCCCTACCTCACCTCGCTGATCAACTCATCCTTGACCGCTGGCTATGTCCCTTCCGTCTTCAAGAGAGCGAGAGTTGCACCCCTTCTCAAAAAACCAACACTCGATCCCTCTGATGTCAACAACTACAGACCAGTATCCCTTCTTTCTTTTCTTTCCAAAACTATTGAGCGTGCCGTCTTTAGCCAACTCTCTTGCTATCTCTCTCAGAATGACCTTCTTGATCCTAACCAGTCAGGTTTCAGGACTGGTCATTCAACTGAGACTGCTCTTCTCTGTGTCACGGAGGCTCTCCGCACTGCTAAAGCTAACTCTCTCTCCTCTGCTCTTGTCCTTCTAGACCTGTCTGCTGCCTTTGATACTGTGAACCATCAGATCCTCCTCTCCACCCTCTCCGAGCTGGGCATCTCCGGCGCGGCTCACTCTTGGATTGCGTCCTACCTGACCGGTCGTTCCTACCAAGTGGCGTGGCGAGAAGCTGTCTCCGCACCACGTGCTCTCACCACTGGTGTCCCCCAGGGCTCAGTTCTAGGCCCTCTCCTATTCTCGCTATACACCAAGTCACTTGGCTCTGTCATATCCTCACATGGCCTCTCCTATCATTGCTACGCTGACGATACACAACTAATCTTCTCCTTTCCCCCTTCTGATAACCAGGTGGCGAATCGCATCTCTGCATGTCTGGCAGACATATCAGTATGGATGACGGATCACCACCTCAAGCTGAACCTTGGCAAGACGGAGCTGCTCTTCCTCCCGGGGAAGGACTGCCCGTTCCATGATCTCGCCATCACGGTTGACAACTCCGTTGTGTCCTCCTCCCAGAGTGCGAAGAGCCTTGGCGTGACCCTGGACAATACCCTGTCGTTCTCTGCTAACATCAAGGCGGTGACCCGATCCTGCAGGTTCATGCTCTACAACATTCGGAGAGTACGACCCTGCCTTACACAGGAAGCGGCACAGGTCCTAATCCAGGCACTTGTCATCTCCCGTCTGGATTACTGCAACTCGCTGTTGGCTGGGCTCCCTGCCTGTGCCATTAAACCCCTACAACTCATCCAGAATGCCGCAGCCCGTCTGGTGTTCAACCTTCCCAAGTTCTCTCACGTCACCCCGCTCCTCCGCACACTCCACTGGCTTCCGTTGAAGCTCGCATCTATTACAAGACCATGGTGCTTGCCTATGGAGCTGTGAGGGGAACGGCACCTCCGTACCTTCAGGCTCTGATCAGTCCCTACACCCAAACGAGGGCATTGCGTTCATCCACCTCTGGCCTGCTGGCTCCCCTTCCTCTGCGGAAGCATAGTTCCCGCTCAGCCCAGTCAAAACTGTTCGCTGCTCTGGCACCCCAATGGTGGAACAAGCTCCCTCACGACGCCAGGAGAGCGGAGTCACTCACCACCTTCCGGAGACATTTGAAACCCCACATCTTTAAGGAATACCTGGGATAGGATAAAGAACAAAAAAATGGTAAAGTGGTTATCCCACTGGTTATAGGGTGAATGCACTAATTTGTAAGTCGCTCTGGATAAGAGCGTCGGCTAAATGACGTAAATGTAAATGTAAATGTAAATAAAATTGTAGACCTGCAGAAGGCTGGGATGGGCTACAGGACAATAGGCAAGCAGCTTGGTGAGAAGGCAACAACTGTTGGCGCAATTATTAGAACATGGAAGAAGTTCAAGATGACGGTCAATCACCCTCGGTCTGGGGCTCCATGCAAGATCTCACCTCGTGGGGCATCAATGATCATGAGGAAGGTGAGGGATCAGCCCAGAACTACACGGCAGGACCTGGTCAATGACCTGAAGAGAGCTGGGACCACAGTCTCAAAGAAAACCATTAGTAACACACTACGCCGTCATGGATTAAAATCCTGCAGCGCACGCAAGGTCCCCCTGCTCAAGCCAGTGCATGTCCAGGCCCGTCTGAAGTTTGCCAATGACCATCTGGATGATCCAGAGGAGGATTGGGAGAAGGTCATGTGGTCTGATGAGACAAAAATAGAGCTTTTTGGTCTAAACTCCACTCGCCGTGTTTGGAGGAAGAAGAAGGATGAGTACAACCCCAAGAACACCATCCCAACCGTGAAGCATGAAGGTGGAAACATCATTCTTTGGGGATGCTTTTCTGCAAAGGGGACAGGACGACTGCACCGTATTGAGGGGAGGATGGATGGGGCCATGTATCGCGAGATCTTGGCCAACAACCTCCTTCCCTCAGTAAGAGCATTGAAGATGGGTCGTGGCTGGGTCTTCCAGCATGACAACGACCCGAAACAAACAGCCAGGGCAACTAAGGAGTGGCCTAGCCAGTAAGAAGCATCTCAAGGTCCTGGAGTGGCCTAGCCATTATCCAGACCTGAACCCAATAGAAAATCTTTGGAGGGAGCTGAAAGTCCATATTGCCCAGCGACAGCCCCGAAACCTGAAGGATCTGGAGAAGGTCTGTATGGAGTAGTGGGCCAAAATCCCTGCTGCAGTGTGTGCAAACCTGGTCAAGACCTACAGGAAACGTATGATCTCTGTAATTGCAAACAAAGGTTTCTGTACCAAATATAAAGTTCTGCGTTTCTGATGTATCAAATACTTATGGCATGCAATAAAAGGCAAATGAATTACTTAAAAATCATACAATGTGATTTTCTGGATTTTTTTTTAGATTCTGTCTCTCACAGTTGAAGTGTACCTATGATAAAAATTACAGACCTCTACATGCTTTGTAAGTAGGAAAACCTGCAAAATCGGCAGTGTATCAAATACTTGTTCTCCCCACTGTACATTTAATTTAGCTTGGCAAGCAGCTGTATACTGCAGAGGATTTGTATTGCAGTTCTATTTCATTGTTGCCATGGGAGCCCGATGAGAGCCAGTATTGTTATAATTCTCATAAAATCTTTGATTGTGTTTGTTTTAGTGTTGGTGTCACAGTGCAGTCGGGAGCAGGCAGCCTCACAACTCAGTCTTTTCTAAGGGTGATTTAAAAGGAGCATTTAAACCCAGTGAGACAGACGGCCCCTCCGTAAACACAGGACAATTCCATTGTTAGCAGGGTTATTATGCTGTGAATGATGGTGACAGGGACAGGCATTGCTAAGCATTGGGTTGAAACAGTTGCCTCTTTGAGAATCTTATGCCCAAATAATTGTCTTGAGATAATGTGCTGGACAAATACGTTGGGTTTAACTCAGTAGATATGTGAATCAATACATCTCTGGGAACTTGACTGTTTCTGCATCTATTTGGCTAGTGTAAAGCAAAAGCAGACTGGCTTCCAGGCTATCCCAATCTTTTCAAACTGCCCTCACTGTTTAGTCTATGGTTGAGTGGTTTATACTACACGTAGGGGCATACATGTATACAGTAAGTAATGTACCAGTGTGGAACTGATAGACTAGGCCACATTTCACATATTCAAGCCCCAGGATTTAGGATTTTTTACATTAATTAGAATTTACGCTCAGAGACTAGTTTTGTTATCCATCAAAAACATATGCTGCCAGGAGGGCACTGAGGTGAAATGTAATGATGTTCTTCAAACAGATCATTGAGTGGATAGATAGAAGCCTAAAGGCATTGTTAGAACACAATGACAATGTCAAGAAGGAGAAAACTATTGTATGCACATATTTTATGCTTTCACTGTCGGATTTGAATAATTTATTAGTGTCATATAGTGATATTTATGTGGGTATATAAAAGAAAAACTAGGACTAGGACTTGAACTTGAAAATATGATGCAATTTCACCTTACATTTTTGTCAGTTATGCTGACAAGAAATCCAGTGTCCATACCATACAGTATATGCCATGATGTATCATCTCTCTCTGACTCTGTCCTTCTTGTCCCTCCCTCCCTCCATAGCTAAGGAATAAGTTCATGAAAAAGATTCCTAGAGATGCTGAGGCGTCTAATGTGCTAGTGGGTGAAGTGGACTTCCTGGATAAGCCCTTTGTAGCCTTTGTCCGCCTGGCACAGGCCACCACTCTGGGAGGACTCACAGAGGTTCCTGTGCCCACCAGGTAATGGCTGTCTGCCTGCCTGTCTGACACATTAGCATGTATATTCACATTACCCCTTACTCCTCTCTGTCTGTCTATCTGTTTCTCTCTCTCTCTCTCTCTCTCTCTCTCTCTCTCTCTCTCTCTCTCTCTTCTCTCCTTCGCTCTCTCTCTATCTATCTCTCCTCTCGTCTCCCTCTCTCTCTCTCTCCTCTCTCTCTCCGTCTCTCTCTCTCCCTCTCTGTCCTCTCGCTCTCTCACTCTCTCTGTCTCTCGCTCTCTAGTCTTTTCCTCTATCTCTAGTGATACTCTGTCGTCGTCCTGTTTCTGCTCTAATCCAAATGTCTGGCTCTAGGGTCTCATTTTCCTACTGTCTTGCTGCTTTCCTACTCCTTGTATCGTTCTTATGCCATTGCACATCTTGCATTGTGCTGAGCCATTGTTGAGGTGTCTATTTTATCCCCACTACCAAATCCTGTTTGTCTGTGGTGCTCCACGAAAGTCCAATCCAAAAATGGTACAATGCTCTCTAATGGTGCTGATTATTTCTGTCAATTGTTTTTTTTTTCTTGATGCGCAGTGCAACATGAAGTAAGCCATGTTGCGGTCACTTTTCCATCACCACACAGTGACTTCCTCGTTTCTGTATGGGCCCCAGAGCCGTCCTGATATCGATATGTCAGCAATGTACATCTAATGTGGATGATGTTGACAAGTTCACCACGTCAATTGATTATTCTGTTTTCATGCCCAATACTTATGATGACATGGAATCTAATACAGCATGGCTTGCTGTTGGTACCGTTCAGCCTCACCTGTCACTATCATGGACATTGACATGTTTTGAACAGAGTCCCACCACGGTCATAAATTAGGAATAGTTCCCTGGGTTTACATCCCATTACTTTATGAGGGGACAGGACAGGTCCTAAATCAGATAGGTTGTGCAGCAGTGCATAATAATGATCTATCTTTCTTTCTCACTCCCCCCCCCCCCCCCCCCCCCTCCCCCTCTAGCTCTTTAGTGATGTGGCGTACAAGGCTAGAGATCGAGAGGATCTGATTGCAGGTATAGATGAGTTCTTGGATGAGGTAATCGTGCTGCCACCCGGAGAGTGGGACCCCAAAATCCGTATCGAGCCCCCTAAGAAGGTGCCCACGGCTGACAAGAGGTTGGAGTCATATTTAGGTTTTCTAATCTAGGTTAATCTAGGTTAGTTCCATTACGTAATCATTTCCCCACACTACAAAAGTCACTTCTGACCTCTAAGACCCAGATATGAGGTCCTTCTCAGTATTTCTGCCATCAACACTTCCCTTCCCTCTCTTCCTGTGTTTATTCCTTCTGTGTACAGGAAGTCAGTGCACTCTCTGAATGAGCTGGGTCAGGCGAACGGTACGGTGGGAGGAAGTGGAGGCCACGCGGAGGATGAGGAGATGCCAGTGGCTCACGAACTGGGAGAAGAGCTGGCACACACTGGGAGGTAGGCTACTGGTTGAGAACTGGGATTGACACCTTTTACATGTATGTTAGGAGATTAGGAAGAATGATAATGTGAAAGGAACTGGGTCTGAACTGGGATAAGAGAGAAATGCTACTGAGTGAATTGAGATATGAGGTAGAGTACTTGAGTGGAACTGGTACTAGAGCTGGGGAGGGTAGTGTGTTTTTTCCCTGTCTTACATTCGCACTTTTGGAGGTTTTACTATATAATGTCTTCCATCCTAGACACATTTCCTCATCTGCTTGCATGCACCTCCCCTATATCAAGGTGTTTTGGTACTTCCCTTATGCACTATGCTTTTCCGTGTGCTAACTTTTACTATAACATAGGTCAGTATAGTCTACCAGTCTAACGGTCTATCCTGCCCTCTAAGCGCATGAAAGAACAGTGAAGACATGAGAATAAGAGCACCTCCTCCCAGCTGCCCACTGCACTGAGGCTAGGAAACACTGTCACCACCGATCAATCTACGATAATCGAGTATTTCAACAAGCATTTTGCTACGGCTGGCCACGCTTTCCACCTGGCTACCCCTACCCCGGCCACCAGCTCTGCACCCCCCGCTGCAACTTGCCCATGCTTCTCCTTCACCCAAATTCAGATAGCTGATGTTCTGAAAGAGCTGCAAAATCTGGACCCCTACAATTTGGACCCTTTCTTTCTAAAATTAGCCGCTGAAATTGTCGCAACCCCTATTACTAGCCTGTTCAACCTCTCTTTCGTATCGTCTGAGATCCCCAGAGATTGGAAAGCTGCCGCGGTCATCCCCCTCTTCAAAGGGGGTGACACTCTAGATCCAAACTGTTACAGACCTATATCCATCCTGCCCTGCCTTTTGAAAGTATTTGAAAGCCAAGTTAACAAATAGATCACCAACCATTTCGAATCCCACCATACCTTCTCCGCTATGCAATCTGGTTTCCGAGTTGGTCATGGTGCACCTCAGCCACGCTCAAGGTCCTAAACGATATTATAACCGCGATCGATAAAAGACAGTATTGTGCAGCCGTCTTCATCGACCTGGCCAAGGCTTTCAACTCTGTCAATCACCACATTCTTATTGGCAGACTAAATAGCCTTGGTTTCTCAAATGACTGCCTCGCCTGGTTCAACAACTACTTCTCAGATAGAGTTCAATGTGTCAAATCGGAGGGCCTGTTGTCTGGACCTCTGGCAGTCTCTATGGGGGTGCCACTGGGTTCAATTCTCGGGCCGACTCTATTCTCTGTGTATATCAATGGTGTCGCTCTTGCTGCTGGTGACTCTCAGATCCACCTCTACGCAGACGACACCATTTTGTATACATCTGGCCCTTCATTGGACACTGTGTTAACAAACCTCCAAACGAGCTTCAATGCCATACAACACTCCTTCCGTAGCCTCCAATTGCTCTTAAACGCTAGTAAAACTAAATGCATTCTCTTCAATCGAACGCTGCTTGCACCCGCCCGCCCGACTAGAATCACTACTCTCTGCGGGTCACGCTGCCAAACATGCCCTCGTAAAACTGACTATCTTACCGATCCTTTACTTAATAATATAATAATAATAATAATAATAATAATATGCCATTTAGCAGACGCTTTTATCCAAAGCGACTTACAGTCATGCGTGCATACATTTTTGTGTATGGGTGGTCCCGGGGATCGAACCCACTACCCTGGTGTTACAAGCGCCGTGCTCGACTTCAGTGATGTCATTCACAAAATAGCCTCCAACACTCTACTCAGCAAATTGGATGTAGTCTATCACAGTGCCATCCGTTTTGTCACCAAAGCCCCATATATTACACACCATTGTGACTTGTACGCTCTCGTTGGCTGGCCCTCACTACATATTCGTCGCCAAACCCACTGGCTCCAGGTCATCTATAAATCACTGCTAGGCAAATCCCCGCCTTATCTTAGCTCATTGGTCAACATAGCAACACCCACCCGTAGTATGCGCTCCAGCAGGTATATCTCACTGGTCATCCCCAAAGCCAACACCTCCTTTGGCCGCCATTCCTTCCAGTTCTCTGCTGCCAATGACTGGAACGAACTGCAAAAATCTCTGAAGCTGGAGACTATCTCCCTCACTAACTTTAAGCATCAGTTGTCAGAGCAGCTTACCGATCACTGCACCTGTACACAGCCCATCTGTAATTAGCCCACCCAACTACCTCATCCCCATATTGTTATTTATTTTGCTAATTTGCACCCCAGTATCTCTATTTGCACATCATCTTCTGCACATCTATCACTCCAGTGTTAATACTAAATTGTAATTATTTTGCACTATGGCCTATTTATTGCCTTACCTCCATAACTTACTACATTTGCACACACTGTATATAGATTTTCAATTTTTCTATTGTGTTATTGACTGTACGTTTTTGTTTATCCCATATGTAACTCTGTGTTGTTGTTGTTTTCATTGCACTGCTTTGCTTTATCTTGGCCATGTCGCAGTTGTAAATGAGAACTTGTTCTCAACTGGCTTACCTGGTTAAATAAAGGTGAAATAAAAAAAAATAAAAAAAACACACAGCAAAAAAATCTCCCCTATTGATCTTATTTAGGGGCAATAAAATGATCCTACCTAGACTAGCCTACAACACCACAATGCAATTAATAATTGCATTATTGTTTTCAAGTGAGTACAACATTCTATAGCCTACTCTAGGCTGCAGTGAAAATGTAATTTGAATAACAGATCAGTTGTGGGTCTACACTCAACAGTTTATAAGGACTAGAAAGGCACAGTAGCAGGCCAGTCTGGCTGTATTTTTACTTCTGATACTGAATGTGCTGTCTGTTTCAGATCATCATTCTCCCAAGTCGTCCTGTAATAAGGTGGCCACATATGCTCACGGCAGGCCCAGTTTTTAAGGAAAGCTTAACACATGCTCTGCCTCCTCTCCAATCCGAGCAGCTATTCCTCACACACCTAGAACCTAACGCTTCAATATAGCCTATTATCATTTAACTTATAAAATGTATGACTTTTTATATGTGGCATGAACATAACCAGTCACAATGTTTTAATCTGATTAGGCTACTTAAAAAGTCTCCTGTAGGCATGTGCACAATAATCCAAAATATAATTCCAGCATCCTCAAAATGGCTTGACATTAACCAGTTTTCCATTCAACCTTTTTATGCGAGAAAAGTAGCCTACATGTCTGATAAATGTCACCACATCATGGGAAAGCATGCAGTTTATTAGGCTACAGATTAAATAAATTACGATGAACTTCACAGGGTGGTGAAAGTGCACAGTGATGAGGTTGATGCTCCTTTCAATAAATATCGAGGGTCTTATTCTGGTGACATGATGATCGATGCTTGGCTGCCATTTGACAAATACAAATAATCTCACTTCTGCCCATAATAATCTCATCATGTAGTAGGCTATGCCTGCACTGTATCTGCAAGATGTTGGCTAGAGCGCACATGCCAATACCAGAGTGGGCACATTCGCTATACCTACTCAACATTTTCTGTGAAAAAATCATCAGTATGCCTAGAGTTGAAAATGCCATGGAAACCAATTTTTTTATTTGGTATATGGGAATTTAACCTCAAACTGTATTTTTATGTGCACTACATATTTACAAACAGACTTTTATCTGAAACAAGTCAATTTGATGGAAACACAAGTCTGATGGGAAAATTCTCCAGGGTTTCCCTTAGCTGGTAATTGCTGGCATTTGGCTGATAAAAAAATTAAAAGCTAATAAATTAAATTGAAGCCAAATTGTCCAGGAGAGGTTGTCTATCATAGCTGACACCCCAGATTTGCGCTTCAGCACCATTCTCTCACGCCTTGCGGGCACATGCGCCTGCTGCTGAGGAGAGAGAGAGCGAGAGAGGAGCCTTGGCCTAGGCCACTGTTGATTGTGAAGATGGAGGCCTTTTTCATTGAAGTAAAACAAAGGTTAGAGGAAAAAGAGTATGCCTTTAGTGAAAAGCCTACAAGGGGAATGTAATATAAGTTTCAATATTGTAGTGGACTAAGATGAGAAGAATGTAGGCTACTGTACAACTCCTTATTTAGGTAGGATGCAATTTTGGAACTTACATTTATTTATAATAATTAGTTTGTATCATTTGTATTATTATTATTGTATATCATTGTTATTATTGTAAGCTTATTTACTGAACAAAAATATAAACGCAACATGCAACAATTTCAACGATTTTACTGAGTTACAGTTAATATAAGGAAGTCAGTCAATTGAAATAAATTCATTAGGCACTAATCTATGGATTTCACATGACTGGGCAGGGGAGCAGCCATGGGTGGGCCTGGGAGGGCATAGGCCCACCCACTGGGGAGCCAGGCCCAGCCAATCAGAATTAGTTTTTCCCCACAAAAGGTCTTTATTACAGACATAAATACTCCTCAAATTCATCAGCTGTCCAGGTGGCTGGTCTCAGATCAAATCAAATCAAATTTTATTGGCCACATGCGCCGAATACAACAGGTGCAGACATTACAGTGAAATGCTTACTGACAGCCCTTAACCAACAGTGCATTTATTTTAAACAAAAAAGTAAAAATAAAACAACAACAAAAAAAGTGTTGAGAAAAAAAGAGCAGAAGTAAAATAAAATAACTGTAGGGAGGCTATATATACAGGGGGGTACCGGTGCAGAGTCAATGTGCGGGGGCACCGGCTAGTTGAGGTAGTTGAAGTAATATGTACATGTGGGCAGAGTTAAAGTGACTATGCATAAATAATTAACAGAGTAGCAGCAGCGTAAAAGGATGGGGTGGGGGGGCAGTGCAAATAGTCTGGGTAGCCATGATTAGCTGTTCAGGAGTCTTATGGCTTGGGGGTAGAAGCTGTTGAGAAGTCTTTTGGACCTAGACTTGGCACTCCGGTACCGCTTGCTGTGCGGTAGCAGAGAGAACAGTCTAGGACTAGGGTGGCTGTAGTCTTTGACAATTTTGAGGGCTTTCCTCTGACACCGCCTGGTATAGAGGTCCTGGATGGCA